GTAAAAAAAAAAAAAAAAAAAAAAAAAAAAAAAAAAAAGGATTTAGAATATAAATTATTGAATGCGAAAATTAAATGGCTGGCCATATGTAGATATAATAAACCGCCTTTTTATCCAACTTTGAAAATGCTCCAAATAAGAAAACTGAATATAAACAAATTGCACAACAGGCAAAATGATACTCTTCAAAGGTAAGTAATAATAGAAGGACTATCACTTTAAAGTCGAAATATGAACGAACACAATATTAGGAAATATTATCTACTTGAGCATGAGCCCTCATGGCTTTGCTTTGGACTTTTCTCAAAATGCTTCGTGCGAATAGAATAGTATTCCTTGATCTTTCGTAAATTTGACCATTTGCAATACTCATCACACAATTAGATAAAGAAAGAGAGAGAAAAATGAAGTGAAAAAGAATTAAAAGAAAAATGGTTAGAACAACAACAGCAATTCATTTTTATTTTCAAAGAGGATAATTCTCTGTCACTGCAGCGAATCAGGTGTGATTAAACACCAAACATCATGTCTCTGCCACGAAAATCACAACAGTAAACAATCCAGTACTGTGGTTGTTACTGCCTAACAATCTTGATACACAAAACCCCAATACTTGTAACACTGCTTAATAACCTATCTCCCCCATTAAGAAACACCTTTGATTTCATGTCTTCACTTCCAGGTACCAAACCCATGAACTAAAAACTTCATAATTAACTATATCATATTTGGATTATTTAACCCTAGATTTGGCTGACCTGAACAACAAGAAATTATGTTTTTTTTTTTTCCTTTTAAGATGTCTCAGATCTGTAGAGAGAGAGAGAGAGAGAGAGATTGAGGAAAGTGAGATGAAAGGCGCAGTAATTACATAAAAATAGATAGTGAGAGGGAGTGAAAAGTATACCTAGAGCCACCAGAAAACTCAAAGAGCTTGCCACGATTAGAGAAGATGATGAGAGCAACTTCAGCATCGCAAAGAACTGAGAGTTCATAAGCTTTCTTGAGCAACCCATTTCTCCTCTTGGCAAAAGTAACCTGCCTGTTAATTTTGTTCTCAATTCTCTTCAACTCAACTCTCCCTCTCCCCATTACGCTATCGTGTTTGCCTTTTCCTTTTCCCTTTCTAGTCTAGGTAAAGAACCTGACCAACCCCTCCCCAAAGAGGTCCTAAAAAGATGAAAGAAAACGATGAGACGAGAAAACAAGAGAGCAAGGGAAACCCTCAACTCCAAACATTAAATTTGCGTACCTGTATAATACAGTGTAGGCCTTGTTTCAGGTTTCGGCCCAGGTTTTCAACTTTATCATCCTTTTATGTATACCACACCAAGCTAAAACTCCCACTCTTTCCTTCCAAACACGGGTAAAAAAGGGGACTGCCTCCTCTTCTTTTTTTTTTTTTTTTTTGAAAATAAATAAAACAAATTTTGCTTACATCTGTTCTACTAAATTCCAGGGTATTGCTGTGTTGTGAAATCATGGTACTTTGTCTAGGTTACATTTTAATGTCTGTTGGTCGTTAATACTAATCACCCTTACCTTTACATTTTACACGTGTCGATCTCTCCATCCGCGCGCGCACACACACATTATATATATATATATACATTCCTTTGGGTTAAAGGGTCTGGATTTGATTCCCCATCGTACTTTTCATCTCTCTTAGGCTTGTTTTTCTTTCTTTCTTTCTTCCCACTACAAACAGCCCCCCTATAACAATTAATTTATATCCTAAAGTTTTCATTTTTATTGAATTACACCTCAAATTTAGATAGCAAAATCTTATACATGTGGAATACTATGTACTAATGGTTTTAAAGCATAACCCTAATAGACTCTCTTCACTAACTTATATAGGAAAGCTTAGAGTTTTAAGGAGCACAATCATTAGTTTGAGATTTTTAGTGGAGTGGTACTATAAGATTAAATTTTACTTTTTCTTTTTTACTTTTTCAAACAAAAAAAAAAATCCATTTCCATAAAAAATGAATCAAATTTATTTGACAAATTCGTCACGGCTTCCATTATTAGTTGCACCAAATTTACATCACTTTTGACTTGTAAGCCAACTTTGTGCCAACTTTGTGTAAAACAATGGTGAGAATCATACCATCCATCCATATCAACCCAATTTATTTTTTTAAAAAAATATCAATATATATATATATAATTTAGACAAAATACGGGTTTACTAATCAATTTGTTAATGAATGAGTCGGTTTCGAATGGCGGGATATGTAGTAGTACCTATACGTTTATGAGTTGGTACAACTGGGATTTAACCTTCAAATGCATGAATTTTATAGGTACTATTTGAGCACTTTGTGGGTGCAGTTAGGGGGTCTCCAATCATTCCCTAATCGTGATCTTACTCAGACGAGAGCAAGAGGCCACATTGGTAGATGAGTGTTGGCAGGCTTGAGGGTCGACTAGGGAAGATATCAACTAAACCTTATTAGACAATCTCATAACAATGTCCATAAGGATATGATTAGAATAATGGGTTAGAATCGATACTACCTTGAGTACTTAGGATATATAGGTTGATGATAACGACAATGATAAAAAAAGAACTTGAGAGAACATGAGTTCATAAGAGTTGAACCTTGAGAACCGACAGCCTAGATAGGGCCAAGAAAAGAGAACTTGATTGCTTCCATCATTTTCTCCTAGGTTGAGCTTAGATGAACCAAGTTTACCAAGGAGATAGCGTAAGAAAGTCTACAACTTAGGAACAAGATTTCTAAATACAAAAAAGACACCGAACAAATGAACGAACAAACAAACTATTGACATAAGGCTCAAGAACGAAACTAAGAAACTACTAACCAGCTACTTCTTTGAGTATTTTTAGAAGAAGGATAGATCTTGGTGTCTTATATATTATCAGATGTTATGTTTTACATTAAACCTAGTTATCTTATACTTTGTTAGTTAGTTTGTAATTGTGCCCTAATTAACTTGGTCGAACTTTCCTCCATGTGAAGGTTAAAGCCTCCATGTGAAGGTAAGGAGCCCAACAAGTGCGATCAAAATTCAATCAATCAATCAATGAAGATTAAAGCCTATCCAGAAACTGAAAGCAAGATTAATCTTCCTTAATTAACCAAGGTAGTAGTCCAACAATTTTCGAACACATTTTTGATCGTCCATTTAGTCAGCAAAAGCTGCTAATTTTGAGTGGTGAGTAAAGAAACCAAACACTAATCTGAAAGCCATTAGTATAAAAACAAGGAGATTAGGGTTGTTGATGTAAAATTTAGAGGATGAAGCAGATGCCCATAAAAGCTTACCTAAATAGACTGGAGAAAGGGCAAGAGTCGGTTTAAGTTGTAGCAGCATTTGCAAAACAAAGAAATAAATAGTACAATCCTGGGGATGCATTTTGATCGTTGGGTCTTCTCATTGATTTGATTTGATTTGACTGTCCTCTTATCAGTTTTCTACCACATGGGGATCCCACAGCACGTGTTCACAGAGTAACCTTTCAAAACTTTCATTATTTTTTTTTTTTTTTTTGTTTCTCTCTGTCATCTCTCTCTATGTATTGATTACATGCAGATGCCATCCAGTCATGAGAAAGGTAATTGGGAGGTGAGAAGCAGCTTATGTGATGGTGCCAACAGATTGTACTGTTTCTTTAAGGCCAGGCATTTTAGACACCCCAACTTTTGTCAATACGTATTCTAACTTCAATTTCTCTGTCCACCCTATTCATTTATGACCGTGCCCACTTGGTGCCCTTTCTTATATGCTCATCTTCTAAAACATTAATCACAATCTATGTCTGACCGCCATCTTCATTTCCTATTACACTTGAGGCATACCTTCAAATTCATTTCCTATTACACTTGAGGCATACCTTCAAATTCATTTCCTATTACACTTGGAGGCATACCTTCAAATTCATTTCCTATTACACTTGAGGCATACCTTCAAATTATACGCTTCTCTATCATTTTCATCGCTACCATCCGTGTCAAATTTCACCTCCATTCGTTGGAGAGGAGAACAAAATGTTCCTTCTAAAAGTGTGGAAATATCTTCCTAACCTACGCATTTTAAAACCATGATACTGATGACGATACGTAACGAGCATAAACATACAATATCCGTTAGTGGTGAGCTTGAGATATTACAAATGGTATTAGAGTCAGACACTAAGCCCTGAAAGGGGTGGACATGAGGCGATGTGCCAGCATCGAAGTAAGTGAATTGTAAAATCTCACATCGATTGGGAAGGATGATGTAGCATTCTTTTCTTTGTAGGGGCGTGAGAACCTCTCTCTACCACACGCATTTTAAAACTGCGAGGCAGACAACGATAAGTAATGAGCAAAAACGAACTTGTTAGTAGTGAGCTTGAACTGTTACAACCAGACATTAAAGCGGACCATATCTATTAGACTCGGGTGCTAAATATGTTTTAAGCCCAACACAAATATTATCCCAAGTTGATTACTGATAAATATTTATTGGATGGGTGAAGTCTACTTCAGTTATGGAACGCGGACGCACCTGTTCTGGGCCGTTTAGCTTAACGAACCGTTTTTTTAAAAGCTAACGAAATTGGAAGGAAGTTTGTGGGCCGTTAATGGGCTGGCTGAGAGAAAGCCCATTTGAGGATTGGATGGGTGAAGTCTAAAAGCTACAAAATGCGTAACTCAATTGTTAACAAGCATACTTAAATTGGCATCTTTAATTTCTTGTTCCAAAAAAAAAAAAAAAAAAAAAAGAAAAAACGAAAACCCAATAATTATGGCATTTAGAGCAAGTTAAATGCATTTTTCAATACAATAAAAGTAAGGGTTGGGTTAGTTAGGTAAGGTGTCTTTTTCTATTTTCCGATTCTCATTTTTTGTTTCTCTTGCTTACAATTTTTTATAAATAGAAATATATTATTTTGTCGAAATTGGATCAACAATATTATTTATTTACCTATTTGGTATTGGGAAAGGTGGAAAGCATTTGAGTTGGAGAGCATGAGGGTTTGTTCGTGACGTGGATATCTATTATTACACACCATACCCCCAACCCCCCCAACTCCAACCACAAAATGCTTTCTCCACGTGCTTATCTAAGCCACTCTTATTTATTTATTCATCATCACACCCCTCCCCCAATCATCAAATATTTGTAAAATATTTGAGTTGGGTTGGTTCACATTGTTCCAGTCCTTTTGTAACCAGTTTGGTCCATCGCTAGCGGATATCGTCCACTTTGACCCGTTATATTATCATCCTTAATCTCACGGCTTTAAAATACATTTTCCCAATAAAAGTAAAAGAGAAAGAGCAAAACAATGTTGGGAAGTGCCATTTTGGATATCAAACCACAGATGCGGATTCTATTGGTTTGGTATTAATTATGATTCACGTTACATTAGAATAGAATGTGTGGCCTATGTCTTTCCATTATTCTCCAAATTATGGCTTGTAGTGAATGAATGAATGCAATTGCACGTTTGGTCAAACTCTTCCCTTTATATTGTATATTTTGTATGGTGATGTGTTGCCCGTGAATGGTGTCTTCTCTCTACCACCTTGCATTTTCTAAGAATTTCAAATAGAATTGTTATAGCATAAGCATGTTGTAATTAATTTTATGGGTAGAAAAATTGAATCTTAGAAAAAGAAAAACGTCCCTATCATCAAAGCCAAGACAATAAAGTAAATACAAGACACATGCACAAAACAGTGTTGTGACAAATGATTAGGATGTTGAAATATTATTTATAATCTAATCCCATTCGGGTTTGGGGTTAATTAGTAAATTCCCATTTGCAAAGCAGACAAATTTATGGTATGAAAAGGTTGAACCCTAAAAGTTTTAGGAAATCAACTTGACACACTTTTTGGGCATGGCATTGGGGCTTAAGACGCAAAAGCTACTTTATTTAGAGGTACTGAATTTTTGTAAGAAATAAGAAATTGATATTGTTATTGGGATTTTCTAGGGACAAAAAAGTACAAATAGGAGTAAGAAAAAAGGGATTGAAAACTTCAAATCAACTAGATGTTACGTAGACAATATGATCCACACAAAGAATTAGCTGGAGACCTCTTTTTCTTCTACCTATGGACCAAGCAACCTCACAAAACACTTTCATTTAATGCTTAGGGATTTTAGATTCATAAAACAAACAAACAAACAAACAAAAATATCTTCAAATTAGTAAAAAAGAAACCAACTTCCAAGTGGAAATCCAGGGTTTTTATACTAACCCTTCCCACAGTGCAGCGCGCATCCAAGGAGTTGTGCATGTGCCTGCATATTATTGCCCTTGTTTAAAGACCTCTGCAACCCCACAACCACCCTATTTCTCTTCCTTTCTCACATCATTTCCCATTTTGGGGCAATTTAAACTCCATTTTTCTTATTGCTTTTTGTTTGTTTTTCTTTGAACCATGCTCTCATTTTCCGTCTCCTACTGTTTTTGCTCTAACTTCCTTCTTTCACTCAGCTGAGCATCCCTGCTTGTCTCTCCACCTCTTCCATTCACGTGAAATTCAGACATTCGTTTGTCGTATTGTGCACTTCACTTGTCTGTATTTGGATTCACTAAGAGGGGTTTCCAATCGAACCGACGGTTGCTTGGGGAGGATAATTTGGTGGCTTTATTTATTTATGCTGCAGAGAGGGGGGGAGGGGGGGGGGGGGGGG